CACTAAATGGTCGGGGCATTCTGGATTTTCGATTCACGAGTTGAATTTTACATCTAAAGTTCAGGCTGACGCACACAAAGCAAAGAATACATAATGAAACACGTGATATTTCTTTTAGTCTAAATGTGTAAATGTGTCAATGTGTCAATGTGTAAATGTGTAAATGCGTAAATGCGTTAATGACATTGACTGTATATTTGCCACATGTTTCATATTTTTTCTATATGCGTCGTATCATCATTCATCTTTCGTTGTATTCTCTTGTGGCTAGCTGTTCATTACTGTATCAAAGCGTTATTTTCACTCTGGACGCCTCATAATGCCTTGCGATCCAAGATGGCCGCCGTATCGTCGAAGTAGTCCAACACTCAATAGTATAGTATACAGCTATTTCCAAAAAGGTTGAATACTGAATACTGCATACTAAATAGTGCATTCCAAGACCGAAGTGCATTGTGGGTCATAGTGACATTGTCTAAAGTATAAGTATAAGACACAATAAAGTATAAGTATAAGACACAGTATATTAACTACATGTAGAGAGTTAATTGCTGTATATTTACTTTTTATTTCAAATTAACGAGACCCACAATGCACTTTGGTCTTGGAATGCACTATTCAGTATGCAGTACTCAGTATTCAACCTTTTTGGAAATAGCTGTATACACTTATTTCAATAAAGTTAGTCACCTGAAAAGCTACAAAGCTGAGACCGGCAAGGATTATGGGTAGATACATTTTACATTTAACCACTTGATAACTGTTGATGGACTTGAGATCTTCTACCAGTTACAAGTCAACCTTCTCTGAGCATCCTCAACTGCTGCAGTTTGTATCAAAAGCTTTACTTGTTGGATAAGAAATATTTCCCCATGATTCTCAGCGATCACAGCTTTCTAGGTTTTTGGTGACTAACTTTATTGAAATAAGTATATACGTGCACTAGTGCAGATCCAACTAGGATCGTACTGTAACGATCTACCTTAGCTAGCGCCACTAATTAAGATGATTTGTCGTGATATAAAATCGTCATTATACTCTCGACATAATAATAATAATAATAATAATAATAATAATAATAATAATAATAATAATAATATCTTTATTTACCCTGATTTAAAAAACCAATCAGCTGGACACGATAGAACARCTGGTATGAACCGGTGATCAGCAATATGAAATCTATAAAAATCTAAATAAAATCTATACTAAAATCTGCGATAATATATCTTATATTGTTAGTGTAAATATCTCCAATCTGCAATCAGCATTCATAATATCGATAATATTTGGGGCCCTTTTCTCTGATTTTAATTAATGATAAACTAGACGTTTAGACTATTTCCTAAAGTTATCAGTAATTAAAACCAGAGAAAACCCAAATATTATTGATATAGATATTGATAATTTTACAATGTAGAATTACGAATACAATTTCTTATTAGAATCGTTCATTCTCAGTACTGTGTTTGGATGCGCATGTCTGATGTCATTTCTGCCGTCAGCCCTTTTTATAATTCTAAATATTATTTAGAAATGAAAAATGACCAAAAATTGAACGTGGGATCATTTTTAATGCGACTTCTCATGAAATACCATCTTGTATACGTCATCTCTAGCCAATCAGCGCGCGTATTCATGATCAACTATAGGATTCTACGTGAAATACCCTCTTGTATACGTCATCTCTAGCCAATCAGCGCGCGTATTCATGATCAACTATAGGATTCTACGTGAAATACCCTCTTGTATACGTCATCCCTACTCTCTTCACTCAATGATTGCGTCAGCGATCTAACGATCCCTCAATCTGGCTTTGAAATAAGTTTAAAAGAGTGCATACTTTATATCCTTGAAAAAGTTAACTAAGAAAATTGTACAAATTAGTGCAAAGTTTTGTAGGTCTACGGTCTACTGAGGTCTACTAAACTTACTAATTTGTAAAGTTCCCTGCGCCATCTTAAAAGGTAGCCGTGTCTTTTTTATCGAAGCAAGACGAACGGTGAGCTTGTAATGATAGAGAACGTTTTTAACACCTTGGACAATTATTCACTTTCTCTATATATCATTGCAAGCTCACCGTTCGTCCCGCTTCGATGTAAAGGCACGGCTACCTTTTAAGATGGCGCAGGGAACTGTGAAGGGGACTATTTTTTGCTAAGTCTTTTTTTCACGGATATATTGTATGCACTCTAATTAGTTTTCTTTTGTCCTTTTTTTAGAGATTGTAAGACTACTTCTCGCTAAAGGTGCTCATGTCAACGACCCTGGAGGCCCTCACTGCCAGGGTGTTACTCCTCTACATGATGCTGCACAAAATGGACATATAGAAATCGTCAAGTTACTTGTGGAGAATGGAGCGTCTTTACTCAGTAAGGACACAAAGGTGGGTTACCTGTGGTTTCTGCTTTCATTCCATGGTTCTGACTCAGAGAATAGCGAACCAATCGACGTTGAAGTAGTTTTACCAGTGCAATTAAAGTCTTTTTCCACAAACGACTACACAGTATCTATTTTAAAGAGTACTACGAGGATTACGAGGCGATTTTCTAATCTTACAGAAGGGCTGTGAACTATTGAAACAATCTATAATCAATTTTCCGCGACCACAGTTTTAAATTCTGAGCTTGTGGGACATAACAACGGTAACTAAGGGAAGTCCAAACCATGAATTATAGATATTTCTCCTTCCAGTTATTCCCTTCTCTATCTCCATCATCACCATCATCGTTATTGTCATTCTCTGTTCTTCTATCTCCATCATCACCTTCATCGTTATTGTCATTCTCTGTTCTTCTATCTTCATCATCACCATCATCGTTATTGTCATTCTCTGTTCTTCTATCTCCATCATCACCATCATCGTTATTGTCATTCTCTGTTCTTCTATCTCCATCATCGTTATTATCATT